CAAAGAACCTATTGCAATAAAACGGCAATTTCATACTTTAACCCCTAATATTACTATGTTGTTTTTATACACATTTTTTTTGTTTTGTTGTGCACGAGTTACATCGACCCCTCCTACGTAAAGTATCGTATGTCGAAATTGCCAAGTATACAGGGGAAGCGTTTTAAAGTTCTGAATTCACTGAAATGAGCATAATACGTGACTAACATTCCTCAGTTTAGATAGGGCATTATAAAATCCTACATATCTTAGATGATCGAGCGTTGCCGAATAAAACTGACAAATGCTAAAGTCATGTGCTAAGCTCGTTTCAGTGAATTCAAAACTTTAAAACGCTCCCCTGTAAACTTGGCAATTTCGACATGATACTTCGATATGATACTTTACGTAGGAAGCGTCGACATATCTCAATACTAAGGAAGCCGCCGACTCCATACTTCTACAGAAGGAAGACACAACAAATGCACCGATCACGAGGCGCTGGCTCAGCACGTGGCCCGCTTTACCGGAATAGTGTAATTTTCAAGTCGGACACTTGTGTTTCAAACATCGAACGATTGTCACCTGTCTCTAGCAATTAATTTAGTAATTTTATTTCTTTTAAATTAAATTAGTCCTAAACGTTGTTGGTTTATTTTCGAACCTACGGCTGCAGTTATCTTAATTCGCGTATGCAGAACGGGCGTTCTTTTAGTTATAGTGTCCGGTATTTAGGTCTGCAGGAAGAAATTTCTGTTAGAAATAAGCAGAACCTTTTGTTTGTATTTTTGCATTAACTGTGACTTTTCCTGTACATTAAACTACTAAATAAATAAATATTGATCTCGTTTACATTTGAAGATAATTGAGGGTGGCAAACTAGGGGATGAATCCGGTTTCACGCACTTTCCGGTAACCGATTTCAATAAAACTTGGCAAATAGATGTAATTCCACCATTGACTTAGAAATAAATGGACGACGGGTCTAATACAAAAACCACGAAAAAAATGTCCCAAATCAACCTATTTAAACGTAGTGACATGTCAAGGAATATGAAAAAGCTAAAACGTTGAATTTAAATTGTAATGTCATCGCAGTACTGTCTAATTTTGCTTGCTTCGCTGTCAGAAGAAACAAACGAAGACTAAAGCGTGAATGACGCTCTGTATACGATTTTAACGCTCTATAAGATCGGACACTTTTTAGCGCGGACCCGACGTCCATATAATTGTAAGTCAATGAATTTCACGAATTTTACTCCGTCATTTTCAAGGATCATTTTACTCCCGTCTTCTAGAAAGACAGCCAGACTATAAGTATTGCATCATCGAGTAAATAACCAGAAATAGAGACGAAATATCATTAAATTTGTTTGAAAATATTCTGCCAAATCATTACGGTAACAACTGCGCTCTGATTGGCCAACCCAAATTCGAAATAATTGATGGGTGTTTTCAATTGTTCCACTTCAAATCGACTAGTTTAACTTGAGCTTTGCAATAATGGACGAGTATTGACAAATTGTACAGTTAAGATGTTTTGCTGTTTTTCCCACACCACCGAATGAAACAGACTCCCATTGTTAGATATAATATCTTTATTACAATAAGTACAGAATATTTTTGGAATATACGGAGACGTACACACAGGTCAGTTGTTGGCGCTATACTATTTCAGTTTTCTAATTTGTGATTTCAGCGCAAACGAGAGTTGATATTTAAAAGTGATATAAGGCCCATTTGCCTGATGAGTTGCCAGAGTTGAGTTGCGGCCCTTATTTCGTCTCTATTACTGGTTATATACTCGATGTTGTGTAGAAAATTGCGCGGCGAACAGGCGGGCGCTTGCTCTTATTATATTGTGGTAATGAACTTTGAATTACAAAAACACTTACTTCGTTATTGCCTGTTCCTTTATCAGCTGTTTTGTTGTCGGTCTCCTGCTCCACGCCAGCGCCACCCTCTGCCAATGACACCACGTACACTGCCAGCTTCATACGTGCCGGCGAATCAATACTAATGTGTTTCTGTTAAACAAATAATAGTACATTATTGCAAATGAAGAGTCTAGGAAAAGAATGATCAAAGGAAATCAGGATTACCTGAGAATTTTAGTAAAAAATATTTTTTTATTAAGTTCTCCAAAACTTTGAAATATTGGTGAAAAAGACACGCACAAATGCTACCTGAAATAAAGCCTATACTGTGATATAAATGTATGTAACGCTATGTAATTCATTTTAACTAAAAAAAGATTTATAAATCATAGGAAAATAAACTATTTTTCCGGATTTCAATCGCTTATATTTGTTTTTTCAAACAAACCAACTTTTCGGCCTTTTTACAAGCCCCATGGTCACGGTTGGCTGTAAAGGGCCCGAAACGTTGGTTTGTTTGAGAAAACAAATTATACGCGATTTAAATCCGGAAAAATAGTTTAATTTCCTATGCGTAACAATCACGAAAACCTGAGAACTCTATTTATTAATCATTTTCAACTTTTCTGCCATTTAGTAGCAAGTATTTTTATGACCAAGGGCTCGTGCAGTCTGCCGGCGATATTTCGCGACTGCGGTCGCACCGACTCGCTGCGACTTGTTTTAACATGTAGAAGTAAATGGCTTAGTGCAGCGTGACCCCGACCGGCGACCACTGGTCGTGAGACTTGCAGCGATCAGTCGTAGCAAGTCGTTTGCGTCTATTATCAATTAATGTTCCTATCATTATTAGATTATTACATAAGTAATTAAAATTATAATAATGGACCTGGATAGGTTAATTATCCCACCCTCCCTTCGCATAAAATGAATAAAATAAATAACACAAGCGCAACTACACTCGCAAATACCACCACCAAATATACCCGACACGTGTTTCGCTTTTCCACGAGACATCTTTAGGGGCTGTTGATTGCTCGACTCTCGGCCATAGATAATTCAATTTACATAATTAAATTAACTTATTCTTGTTAAATGTATGTATATGAATAATATGAATGTACATATATATCATCTAATCTGTACTATGCAATGTTTAATATAATCATAATAGTAAAATCTAATGATAATTCAATATTGACATCTTATATGATAATTATAACTTCAAAATGATAAGATAATAATAGATTTAAATGTAATACTTTGAACTAATGACTTCAACAATTTGTAATAGTTTACTTAAGAATATTTGTCCCCCATTATTGGTAGATTTTTTGTGATACTTAGCACTGTTATTTACTAAACATCAAATTGTTACACCAAAAAATCACACAAATAAACAAATTTCATTTCATTTCATTTCATGAATAAAAAATTATTTTGGTACTAGATGGACGGCTGTCAAATTCAGAATAAAGATGGCAACAACTCTATTGGTAGTTATTATAACGTCATAACATCCACAACCCAGTCATTTCAACTGTCTGACTGTCATTTTAACTGCCTCCGTGGCCAAGGTCCCAGGTTCGATTCCCGGGCCGGGAGAAATAGTAGTATGGCCTACAATTATATCTCTCGCGGGTTTGGGTGTAATTTGTGGTTGTCTATGTGTGTGTCCATGGCACCCGCGACACAGGGTTTCCCTAATGTTGAGTGTGTCTATGTTGTGGCTATGTTGAGTGTGTGCGTTATTTATTATTATTTATTTATTTATTTATTTCTGGCAAAATTTTTTCTTCTTTCACAATCCATCGATAAAACTGCCGACAACAAAGACAGGACTATTTAAAATTTTATGAAAACTGGCAACCCTGCAAATAACATTTTACTCCGCCTTCTAAAAAGACAGACTATACATACCTTGAAGAATTGTAGAAGCTCATCTTTAGTAATTGTGCTGAGATGTTCCACCTCCACTCTTTGCCGATCGAAGTTGTACACCTGGAATTGAGGCATAAAATTACTTAACGCGAGGTATTTATTATTAGGTATTTATTATAATGTTAATACAAATAAAGTAAAAACGCACAGAAAAAAATTGACACGGATTCGATGTCGACAATCGCCCGATGGCGACTAACGGTGCAGTAGGCAGCGCGAGACGTCGTTAAACCGCTAAGCAATTTTCAAACTTTGTGATACATGTGAATTTAATAACTACGGGGCTTCAGTTGAAAACCAAATTTAAATAAAAAAAGTCCGTTCTGTACACAGAACTATGAGTTTCAAAAAAGAAAGTCGTGTTTTTACTAATTATAATCTCAAAACAGCCGACCTAAAAAGTCACTCATCCCCTAGTTTACCACCCTTAGAGGTAGAATATTTCCTTCAAATATAAATGGGACCACTACTAAGGAACCCTCTTTCCAACAAAAAAAAAACATTTAAATTGGTTCACAAATGTGTTATCGCGTAACATAAAAAATTCGAATACAGAACCTCCTCCATTTTATGAAGTCGATTAAAAATATCAATTACGACGCTACTCACACGCTATACTGCCCCCCATTGCTTAAATTGGCCTGAATGTTTAGGCAATCGGGCTTTAAATGTTTATAAAAAAAAACATTGGTTGAACTATTGGGGGTGCTTGGCCACTTCTGTTCTATCTCTATGTATGGTGAAACCATTTCCTACCCTAACCAATGAGTTAAAATTTATTAAAAAAAATTGCGTTTGTTATCATAGATTGTTAACAAAATATACATTAAATATTGGTTCTACTCATTGACTTACAATTATATGGACGTCGGGTCCGCGCTAAAAAGTGTCCGAACTTATAGGGTGTTAAAATCGCATACAGAGCGTCATTCACGCTTTAGCCTTCGTTTGTTCGACTGACAGCGAAACAAGCAAAATTAGATTGTACTGAGATGACATTACAATTTAAATTCAACGTTTTAGCTTTTTCATATTCCTTTACATGTCACTACGTTTAAATAGGTTGACTTGGGACATTTTTTTCGTGGTTTTTGTATTAGACCCGTCGTCCATTTATTTGTAAGTCAATGGTTCTATTTCATAATTTTATTTACTAGTAGAAAATAGTTAGTTTCATAAAAACATCTCACGAGTGTTTTAATGCCTAATTATGTGCAGTTACATACACTGCTTTATCTACACACATATTATAAGCTCTCTGTGATGTGTTCAGGAACCGTATGTTATGACTGGCGAAATGGCGGCAAATAAAAACATTTCTCACGCATGTCACACAATCGTAGTTTTAATTTTTAATTCATAGACAAACTAGAGTCGGCCACAACTATCATATCGTTCGATATCAAGTAACGTGTGAAATTGTCAAAATTGTTTGCTATTGACATTTCATTTCGAATAAAACTTCACCTCGACTGATATTAGAATTGAGGTCCAATCAAATTGTTTTGTTTTTCATAGATGTTCAAAATTTGAAATGCAATAATAACATTTTCACTTCTCATGCATAAATATTGACAAAACAGTTCACCTTTATGCTGCTCGTAATTTGCGGTTTCTCCACACATTACAGAGAGTTTATGATATGTGTGTAGATAAAATACTATTAAGCACGTTTATCTACGAAATTATTTGCTTGTGCCTTTCTTTCTTCTGAAGGCAGTACTAAGATTGCATTCTAAATACTAACCTGGGCGGTGATCTCCCCCCACAGCTGCGAAGCCTTGCTCGAAAGCCGTTTGGGTTTCTCCAGCTTCTGCGCTGCCAATGCTGCACGGTGCTTCAAGAATTCCTCCTCAGACATCTTTTCCAGGATATCCTATTAACAAAAAGGTAAAAAAGAAGTATTATATCTGCCTTTTACAACTGAATTTTTTTAACTGCCTCCGTGGCCGAACGGTTACCATGCCGGACTGCCACATTTGACAGAAACATTTGTATGGCCTACATTTATTTCTCTCGTGAGTTTGGGTGTAATTTGTGGTTGTTTATGTGGTTTTCCTAGGGCGGGGCTACGTTGAGTGTGTTATTATTATAGTCCACTTACATAACGATTTTTAGTAGCATTAGAGTTCCTTGTGAAAGAGTTCGTCCATGGAAGTACTGCCACTGCCTATTTCTGCCGCCAAGCAGTAATGTGAGCATTACTGCGTTCCGGTTTAGAAGGGCAATTTACAGGCACATGGGACTTGTCAACATAACGTCGATGATAGTGCAAATCCGTATTGCACCAAACCAAATTTCATAGGAGAGGGATTTAAGACGCTGAATACCGTCGACTACGCTTCACTTTAAAGCGTTTTAGGAAGATCTGTTTAACTTGTGGCAGTGGAAAAAATGTGTATTATTCTTCGTCATATTATCTAAAATGCTGTTGTTTCCAAAACACGATTTTATAATATTTCCTAGATAAAAAAAATATTCAAAGTTACCTCTTATTCTACGCTTTCAACGCAAATATATCCGTAATATACCAAGTAAATTTCATAAAATTTTGATGACTAAGGTATTAATTACGTAATAATGAAAACCGTGGTCGTTTTATTTTTCCATTTTGTACCTAATTTTGGAAATAAACCCTTTTTTTGAGACGCGCGCAACTATTGGTAGTTTTTTACCTTGTACGCATACGAAGGTCGGCTGTGATAGCCGAGATGCGTTGCTGGATGGATCTATGTCGCCCGCACTGCACCTAGCTGGCTAATTCATTTCATAAATTGTAATATAGCAGGAGGCTTAAAACGTCCATCGATCAAGGTCATCGACGCTTTTCAGCGCCTTACGTTATTACTTTGTTATTTTAATGCCTACTACCATTGACTTACAATTATATGGACGTCGGGTCCGCGCTAAAAAGTGTCCGAACTTATAGGGCGTTAAAATCGTATATAGAGCGTCATTCACGCTTTAGTCTTCGTTTGTTCGACTGATAGTGAAGCAAGCAAAATTAGACAGTACTGCGATGACATTACAATTTAAATTCAACGTTTTAACTTTTTCATATTCCTTTACATGTCACTACGTTTAAATAGGTTGACTTGGGGCATTTTTTTCGTGGTTTTATTATTAGACCCGTCGTCCATTTATTTGTAAGTCAATGGCTACTACTTTCATTCTTGCACAGTAGGCATTAATCTATGTTGTCTATGGACTGATAACAATAGATTCCCGTAAATCACGCTAATTTGGTTGTCGCGACAGTTACGCGGATTTTATTTGGCGACTAAATTACCGAAATGGAAACTTATAATCAAATGCTAGTTACGCGTTATTGCACTATCTCCGACGTTATGTCTCAAGGACAGGACGGGCGAGTCGCTTACCATCCGGCACACGACTTGTTCGTGCCGGCACTTGGTATATCAATAAAAAAAAAGGTTCGAACCTGTGCGGCCTCAATGAAAGCCTCTATCCGCGTGTCGAGATACGACGGATGTCTGTCACTCTGAACGATGACACGGAGTCCTTGTACGCCGTTAGAGCGGCGTATGCCACTGAACACTATGTATCCCAGTTGCTCCTGGAAAAAACCATCCAAGTTAACCAAGGATTTGTTGCAACATGTCTGTTGAAAGGAATAACATTTTTTTTAATACAGTTGCTCAAAACGTGGTATTTTTCGTACTACAAGTCGTGCCGAAAGCTGGATTTTTGGCACTAGTGCTTTTTACTTTTCCATTTCTTTTTTAATTTACTGTTGTTTCAAGTCTTAAAAATAGAACTAAAGAGGTTGTATATTTATTTGCTATTTATGTGCTTTGTGACGTAAGTCATTCGTCATTAAAACTTATATGTACTGACAAACATGTTATTTGTTTAAATTGCATAGGTGTTTTACGAAACAACGGGTTACATTTAAAAATACCAAAGTATTTTCCATAAAGATGGCTGATTGAGTATTAACAATGATCAGGAGGTGAGTATTACGCGAGAACGCTGCGCGCCACTAAAATGTACCTGAATACTAGCCACAGGTGCCATATTGAAAAAAGTCGGCCAAAGAATGAGTTTTTTTAAATACTATTTTATTTTACTTTCAATGTAGGTTTTTCGCAAATGTATTAAAAAACGTCGTTTGATACACGTGCGGATTTGTCATTTTCACTTGTCTCGAGTCTTGAAGCCTCGAGACTCGTGAATAATGACTAACTTTCCGCACTTGTATCATAAATAACTATCTTTTAATTGTTATGCGCGGTTTACACGCGTGCATTTGTTTGCTACGTCGCCAGCACGCCAGAATCGCCAAAGTCCACACAACGGAGCGTCGGTAGTGGCTCCGCTTCCAAATTGGCGACGTCGTCAATTAGTAGCCAAGTGAGGTAGCCGCCTGTATGAGGGCTACCTCATTATTTCAATATAAATTTTTGGTTACGTAGCTCTGGCGACGTCGCCATGGCGTCCCAATAAGACAGGGCACTAAAGGTGGTAAACTAGGGGAGGAAAGACTGTTGAAGTCGGTTTTTTTAGTACTCTGTTCTGATAATTATTGTTAAAGCAACTATTTGAGGGTCGTATTCCAGAAATCTACTCAATGCTCAAGTCAGGATTTGAGCAGACTTGAGTATGATTTCAAGCACTGGAAATACTACCCTAATAGCAAGGACTTGAGTATGATTTTCAGTGCTCACTGCAATACTCAAGTCATGACTTCAGTATTGAGTAGAGTTCTGGAATACAACCTTGAGAATGTTTACCTTAGTCCTGAGAATGTTGAAGCAGGGTTCATGCAGCGTTTGCGCCAACAGCTCCAGAATAACGTTCTGTTTCAATGCTCTTACGCCGCACGCGTAATACACAGACGTGCACGAGGATTTGTGCACTTTGTTGTTGGTCTCGCGCAAGTATGATGCTCCTGTGAAGAATTAATAATAATAATTAAACAATGCTGAACATAGGCCTCTCCAAAGATTGCCAGACAAGCCGATCGGACGCGACGTGCATGTATTGGTTACCAGCTGCCCTTACTAGGTCATCCGTCCATCCATCCATTAAGTAGCCGTAGAGCTCCCCATTAGCATCCTAAAAGCGTTGTTAAATTGCACCCTTAATGTATTCAGGGTTCTCTGCGTATACTTCAACCACAGGCTGCTAGAAAGATACAGTAGGAATTAGGTTCATCTTCTCGCTCGGAAACCCATCAGATTTCGAGACTCGGATGGGCTACCCATCACCACATGAAGATAATTCTGCTTATAATATAACGTATTTCTTTCTTATTACATGACATATTTTCTATTTTATATTATTATTTTGTAAATAACAATTCTAATTAATAATTGAAACCTCGGCCTACCTCTGCTCTTATTGTTATCCCTAATAAAGGCCTCATATGTGTAGAACTATTTTATTTTAAGACATGTACCATATGAATGCAATAAATATATTGAGTATTGAGTAAGATTCGAGGGGCACTGCCAGTGCGCCAGTCACCTTGAGACATAAGTTGACAAGTCCCAAGTGCCTGTAATTTCGCCAGCACCCTTATCCTTCAAACCCGGAACTCAGTAATGCTCACGTTACAGCTTGGCGGCAGAAATAAGTAAGGTGGCAGTACCTCTCTGAACAAATTCTTTCACAACCAACTATACTGTTACTAAAATGGGACGAACAAGTCTTGCGCCTGTTGCCAATATCACGCCTGTTCAGAACAGTTGCAATGCCACTCACGAGTTTTAAATCGCAAAGATCTTATAGGCACTGCCACTGCGCCCGACACCCTGATACATAAGTTGACAAGTCCCATGTGCTTGTAATTTCACCAGCACCCTTCAAAATCTATAATAATATAATAACGCACACACTCAACATAGCCCCGCACTAGGGTAACCCTGTATCGCGGGTGCCATGGACACACACGTAGGGTCGTACTCCAGAACTGTACTCAATACTCAAGTCAGGACTTGAGTATTGCAGTGAGCACTGAAAATCATACTACTCAAGTCCTTGCCATTAGGGTCGTATTTCCAGTGCTTGAAATCATACTCAAGTCTGCTCAAATCCTGACTTGAGCATTGAGCAGAGTTCTGGAATACGACCCTTAGACAAGTACAAATTACACCCAAACTCACGGCCAATGTAGGCCATACAAATATTTCCCCCGGCCTGGGAATCAAACTTGGGGCCTCTGCGGGGCGGTCCGGCATGGTAACCGTTCGGTCGCGGAGGCAGTTAACCTGAACGCTCACGTTACTATTCGACGGCCTCTAATTACTACGCCTGGTTTGTAAATTAACATTATTTGTAAAGATTCATACCTTTTTCAAGCTCAACTTCACGATATAACAGCAGTTGTTGCGCCAACAACGGGGTTGCGTCTTTTGGTAACCTAAACAAAAAGAATAAATAATAATGCTACTCAATTAATAACACTAATTTCAACAGAAAAAATAGTTTCTCAGTACCACCAGTTTGGGATCCAGTATTTCCTCTGATAAAAAATCCGAAACACATAAGACTGCAGTACTAATTAACACGTTTTAATTTATTCTAATTTTCATTATTAGTTAATAATAAATTTAGCTTAATAAAAATTCATATTGGTAAAATAAACTGATAATAAACTAATAAAAAACATAATGTAGCGTAAATTGGAATGTTTCTTTGTAAAATTAAAAAGTTCCGAGACAAAACCCAATAAGGGCCAGGCAATGTACTCTCGTTTTCTAAATAATTACACAGAAAAAAAGGATTTCTACTAATAAGAAAGAGCAATTTCACAAAATATCTGCTTATTCTGAAAAAAAAATTTACAAAAACTAATAAAATATTGTCATTACGAAAATACTGCTTATCATTTTCTAATACAATTTTACTCTTAACTTTATTCTAACTTTTAGACAAATACGTTCACTTCCAGATTTTATTTCATTTCTAATCAATTAATTGGGCATTACTTACATCAAGAAATTTTGACATTTTGACCCACATCTACAATATTTAGTCGATAGAGTTACAAGAATTACAGAAGATGTGGATTATTTCTCTGTATCTAATGGAGCAATAAACGTTTTCGACGTAACTCCACTTATGCCGTTCTTCCATGAGGGGAGCGATTTGTTCCGTGAGTTTTTGACAAAACAAGATAAATTTACCATAACTAAACTTGAAGTATTTTTTGTAATATCTAATACTTTTTAGATCTATATTTGGTAGTAAAGTGCAATCGTCCTCTCCGACGACTCCCGTTCTTCACAAAGTTATCACCGTCTAGAGCGATTTATTTTAATATTTTCATTTTTGTATAAAAGTAAAATCTGATAAAATATATCAAAAATCACGGAACAAAAGTTTTAAATTTTTTTAGTGAGAGTTATAATTTAATTTTTATTGAATTGATATTCAATTATTTTTGTGAAATTACTCCACTAGTTTGTTATAATTATTAATACAAAGATCGGACACTTGGAAAAAATTCCTTCGATCCGGCCGGATTGAAACAGACGTCTTCTAGCATACCGTGCCAGACGCTATACCAACTAAGCCACAGAACGAACCAGCGGACCTCACGAATTTTTCTGTGCTTACGTCGTATCTTTGTATTTGGTTTTTTCAACGACTTTTTAGCCGTAGCGCCATCTATGTCAAATCTATGATATTTCGTCACCCAGTTAGATACCTTTACAGTTACCAGACCTGGCTAGAGATGCCGCTATTCATTGTATTTAAATTTTTATTGAATTGATATTCAATTATTTTTGTGAAATTACTCCTTTAGTTTGTTATAATTATTAATACATGACTAAGCCACGGAACGAACCAGCGGACTTCACGAGTTTTTCTATGTGCCTTTTGTTGGATCTTTGTATTTGGTTTTCAACTACTTTTCAGCTGTAGCATCATCTATCATCTATCTAGCGTGGCTTAGTTGGCATAGCGTCTGACACGGTGTGCTAGGAGACGTCGCTTCGGACAAAGAGACGACAACAAGTCATATTTGTTAAGAAGAATTGATAGCTTTGGTTGATTCCGCATAGCAGCGAAAGCGTTCAATCAATCTCTTTGATAAAAAAAATACAGTCAAATTGAGGACATACACTGATTACTATATGATGTAAAAACACGAGTCCTAAAAATTTTCACGATAGAAAAAAACACAAACTTACCTCGAAATTTTACAAGACAACCGCTGTATTCTATACTCTAGCCAAATTCGATGTAGAATGTTCAATAACAAAACGTTGCTAAGCAACCAATGATGGCATAGGAAAAGAACATTTTTTTTCAATGCTCATTATTAAGGCTTGCGCTGCCCACGGCCTGCTCCTTAATTGGAATTTAAATAGGTAAGTAATTGGGTTATGTAGAAGTAATACTTACCTAGCCAATTATTATAAAATTTACAAATTATCTAGTGATACATATGATTTAAGAATAAAAATAAGTGTTTGCATCCTATTAATATGTACAGCTAGATAATGGTAGATGAAAAGAAACAAAATTGTAAGATTTTATTTTATATCAATTTACCACATATTATATCATCCAGCATCTAGGTATTTCCAATTCTAAATTTGAATTACCACCAGAACTCGAATGTTTGCAATCTCTCCCTTCAAATCAAAAAGTTACTAGGGATGACACAGTTTTACATATAATTAATAACTGGTCATTTTTTAGTTCATTTTAGGTGATTTGAAACTTCTGTTGAATAATATTCATTATAAACAACACTTGAAGATTTAGTATTATCCATAATCTAGTTGAATTTCGAGGGAAAATATTGAAATTGTGGTAACTGTGAAACAGTAAGATGAAAACCCTAAAAATCATGTGTTTTTGTTTGTTGACATTTAATCTACATCGAATTTGGCTAGAGTATAGATAGGTACTTCACATATTATTTTTTTATAATCAACTGAACTAAATAGAACACGTATAGTATACGATATATACATTTTTCAAATGACTTTAATTTTTTTTGTAAGAAAGAAATCTGAAATAAAGCCAGTGGTAGGGACACGCTCGACCCAAGCAAAATTAACCGTATTAGTACGTCAACGGTCAGATTGACTGTCCGGAATCGTTGTCACACATAAACCTGCGCACAAACTTGTTGCATTACAGATGTCGACCACCTCTGCAAGTACCGTTTGCGAGCACTAATTATAGGCAAAATACCTACACGGTGCGTGCTTTGAGACTTTATAACAATGCGACAGTAAATCATTCTGAGTTAGATTTGTTTTGTTCAAGCATAGACACAGTCAGGCGTGAAATGACCAAACGTCACTTTGACACATCACGTAATTGGCGATGAATACACTGGTTTGTTCGTTTAATTCTTAGACTCTTTTTCTTTTACCATCCTCTTAAGGTTTAATTGTATATTAATAGTAATTTTTATTTTATTTTTTAAATTTATTGACTGCGTTCTTTGTATTCTACTGTAATCTCTTTTTGGCTTGCTAAGCACTTTATATTGTTTCATGTTGGTGGAAATTCGTAAATGGCATTGGATTACTCATATTTAAGTATACTATAATTGTATTATTTGTCCGTGAATTTTCCTAAAATGTATAAATAAATAAATAAATAATAAATAAAATAATTTTTTCGAGCTAAGGTAGTATCTTCGGGTAGTCAATCATTAATTTTTATTATTGCATTATAATAAAGACAATTTTGTTAACAAAATTCTGTACTTACTTGTTCTCAATACCGTCGGCCACTTTGAGGGCTCTCTCCCGCGTGAGATTTCCCACCATGATGCCTTCAACGTGTACCTTGCGGACCATCGAAGCTGCATATTCGTCAAGCTGCTGCGGAGTCATTGCTGTAGGGAAACATATAAATGATTTATCAAAATAATCTTTATTATATAAGACATTTTTATTTAAAAGCTATGCGGATTTGACTTCCATCTCATCTGTTGGAAAGTGACAATGAAGTTAATGATGGCGCATGCACACCTAAATAATAATAATATAATAATAACGCACACACCCAAGCCCCGCACTAGGGAAACCCTGTGTCGCTGGTGCCATGAACACACATAGACAACCACAAATTACACTCAAGCTCACGAGAGTAATAAATGTAGGCCACACAAATATTTCTCCCGGCGCGGGGATCGAACCTGGAACCTCCGCGTGGCAGTCCAGCATGGTAACCGTTCGGCCATACAAGCAGTTACATAATAATGCCTATTCACACTCGCCTCCAAGTTTCTTTTTACTATTTTTGTTTTATAATATCAAGAGAATACGCTAATTCTACCAAAGCATTTTATTTTATAAAAAAAAAATAGGCAAAACAAATACTTCAGTTTTGGTTAGCAAATTAAAACTCCCCACTATACAGACACGCCCATATTTATGGATTTATGATCTGGTTACTTACATTCAGCTGCCTCTAGTAATTGACATCTGGTCCAGACCAAATCGGACAAGCACAGAGCTTGTTGGTACAACACGTGCTGGAACAAAAAATATACAATAAACAAGTGTCAACGAGTCATATCCAGTTTCCTGGTAGCTGTAAAGGTACCAGTCGGAATCAAGACTCTTTCATGAGTTTCTCATAGTAGCTACGACAAAAAAAATGTAATTTAATTTGTTTGAAAACTATTCTGCTATATCATTAGGGTAACAACTGCACTCCGATTGGCCAGCACCAATTCGGAACAATTGACGGGTGTCGTCAATTGTTTCACTTCAAAACGACCAGTGTAACTTGAGGTTTGCTATAATGGACGATAATTGAAAAATTAAATTATTTAATATTTAATTACCGATGAAATGTGATTGCGTTTGTTTTGTAATTAGATGATTTGCTGTTTCTCCGACACCACCGGACGGAACAACCACCCATTGTTAGAAATATTATCTTTATTACATGAAGAATATTTTTGGAATATACGGAGACGTACACACAGGTCAGTTGTTGGCGCTGTACTATTTCAGCTTTCTAATTTGTGATTTAAAAGTGATATTAGGCCCATTTGCCTGATGAATTGCCAGGGATGGATGGTCCTTATTGCGTCTCTATTTCTGGTTATATACTCGATGGTTATAGTTGTAAATTTTGCGATGTGGTAATTTTGCGAATAATCAAATTTTCTAATATTTTTATTACTTTACCTGATAGGGTTGTTCTGCCTCAAAATTCTTAATAGCCCTTATATGATTCTCCTTCATGATCTCGAACCTTTTTGGGTCCGTTTTAAAGTTGACAATATGGTCGAATATTTTTTCTAGTAACACATGCTGCTTGTCGTCGAAACCGTCTATTGTTACCTGTAAGATAAATGTACAACGGAAGCTGAAACACTTAAATTGTCCAGATCGAAGGAAATTTTTCTATATAATCGATCTTCATATTAATAATTAAAAACAAACTATAGTCAGTTCCAATCATTGACTTACAATTATATGGACGTCGGGTCCGCGCTAAAAAGTGTCCGCACTTGTAAGGCGCTAAAATCGTATACAGAGCGCGACACTCCGCTTTAGTCTTCATTTGTTCTACGGACAGCGCGATACTGCGATGACATAACAATTTAAATTTCGAATAGGTTGACTTGGGACATTTTTTTCGTGGTTTTTGTATTAGACCCGTCGTCCATTTATTTGTAAGTCAATGGTTCCAATCCATTTTGAACACAAAGTAAACAAACCTGTTTGGTTAAAATTCTAAAGCATTAACTCAATAAATCGAATAAGTGGCACTTTCACGTATATTTCGAAGATTTCGACTTGATATATATCATCACTTTTTCCAACAATATTCATTTGAATAGCATCGTAAAATCGTATTGGAAAAATGGTAGTCCAAAAGTGAGTTTATTATTCCTCTATACTTCTATGACTTGCCTATTATGAATAACTTTTTCAATGAAATGAATAGTGAAGAATCTGGGGAATTTACTAACTTTTGCAGAATGTCTCGTACCGATTTTGAATTTCTGTTGAACAAAATTGAACCTATGATAAAGAAACAGACAAGACTAAGAATACCTATTCCACCAAAAATACGCCTAGCAATAACCCTAGCAACATCCCAAATGGCTTTTTCCGTTTCCAGTAGTTCTAAGAATTTTATTGTAATCTCATTGCTCCATTCGGACGGCATTTTCGATGATCTAAAGTATCTAAACGAACGTCTTTCTCCTTCAAGGTGCTTGGCGAGTACTGAGCGTCGGAGCAGAATGTAAACACGCACTGCCGCTCGCGCTGCCGGTCCTTTGACTTCCGCACAAAAAACCGCCATTTTGGGGAGCGCCGGGCAGGGCAATGGCAGTGGCATGAGAAGTATCGCGTTTACACACTCGTCCTGCCCACTTCCCTGCTCACTACGGCTGAATGTAAATGAGGTATAAAGAAAACCGCTAGTATGACTCCATTGAACAAACCGATTCATTCAATTAATTAATCGATTTGTAGTTGGCGTTACTATTGGCCATAACTAAGCCGTCTATGGTCAGGTCAGTGACTTGTTTGTTTACATTTTCTTCAAAATGGATTGAAACGAAGTAGAGTGTAGTAATTTCACAAAAACAATTGAATATCATGGTGGTCAAACATCGTGCATTCAATAAACTTAAAAATTATTAAATCTCTATTCAGCTGCTGATTGTTATAAAGGTACCTGGGTGAGTAAAGAAATAGATTTCTCGCAGTTGGCGCAATGGCAAAAAGTCGTTAAAAAGCAGAAACAGGCAAGCACATAGAAAAATTCGTAAGGTCCGCTAGATCGTTCCGTGTCTTAGTAGGCATAGCGTCTGCCACGTTTTGCTGGAAGACGTTGGTACGAATCCAGCCAGACCGATGGAAATTTTTGTATACTTGTATTAACATTATACGCTAGTCAAAATACAAAATTCGATGTACATTGCCACCAATTTAACTACTCGTATAACTGCCTCTGTGGCCGAACGGTTACCACGCCGGACTACTACGCAGGGGTCCCAGGTTCAATTCCCGGGCCGGGAGAAATATTTGTATGGCCTACATTTATTTCTCTCGTGAGTTTGGGTGTAATTTGTGGTTGTCTATGTATGTGTCCATAGCACCCGCGACACAGGGTTTCGCTAGTGCGGGGCTATATTGAGTGTGTGCGTTATTATTATTATAGTGTGTGCGTTGTTAATTACGGAGAAGGGAAAAAATCATACTGTTTAAACAAAATCTACTGTGCAAGTTGTCGCGAAGCCGCGGGCGCAGTCGAAGAGAGTTTAAATTTATTAAACTAATTACAATACGTCGATGTACCTTAGTTAATTATGATTCAAAAATAAAAATACATCATAAGGACACTTAATGCCTTCCTTATATTTGTTTGCCAATGTACGTCATCGTATGCCAGTATACAGGGTGGAACAGAACGACCGACAAAGCCGAAAACTATGAAGTCGTAAATATGTACTTAATTGTACTGAAAGTCTTTTTCCTCGAAGTGTAATAGTTTCCAAGTTATTCAATGATAAAGATTTGCTTCTAAAGACTTTTCAACTCTACACAACAACAAAATCTTTGTAATGTAATAGGTCGTTGACCTCCGTCGTTGATCATCACCCCATCAGTCGCTTTCTTTAATCAATCACTTTCTTTGATCAATTTTCATGTGAATGATGATTAATTATGCGGGTGTTTTATTGTATTACTTTGAGAGTAATTAACACTCATAAATTCCGTGTTTGAGGACCCAATATTTACATTTACCGAAAAAATGCACCTCTCATAGAATCTTCGGGAGACATGTTGTTTCTAAACTATGCGTCGTCATAAACTACCTACATCAACTTAAGAAAAGTAAAGTTTTCTAAATGAGGTTCAAGTCATATTGTATGCGTCACAAGATAAGACTAACTTAAATAAACATAACTAAATTAAGTAAACACGTTCTACAACATGCGTCAAGTACTCAAATTGCAATAGTCTCGTAACCCTTAATCCGACCCTAACGTAAAACAGTAAATCAAGGCAGCCAATCACGTCTCTTATCACCGCTTAGAGATGCACACTTGATACCTGTTATCTGTTTTTTGTAGCATAATCGGGAGACCTTTTTTTTACTAGTCTATTTTTCAATGCGTTTGGAAATAATTTTAATTTACACTACAAGAATTTGCTAACTTTAAAACGAAGAGTTCATCTTAATAAGATCAACATTTAAAACTAAATATTAAACTGTTAACGTGAGCTGAATAGTTGAAATTTTAATAAATGTAATTTAAAAATTAATAAATCGGTTCTTGGAGGTCTGCAGACGACCTCCACGGTTCGTTTTCTTATTTTTGAGTATCAATTATCGAATTGCTAAATTTGATTATTTATTACAATTCATTCAACGACTTGCATTTAACTTACTTTTACTTTTGAATTGCAAATAAGACGATTATTGTGAAACCTATTTCTTTATTATAATTGTCTTTTTAAAATTAACATTTAGATATTTAGTAATCAACGATATCCGACGCGTACGCCGCCGCCGCACGCGTCTCTATGCAGAGTTGCCAACTAAACGACTTTGTCCCTTTATGTGACATTTTGACATCAAAAGCGTCTTTTATTTCTAGCGACAAAAAATTTGGTATTTTTGGCGCGTATTTAATTAGGTTTAATTGTTTAAAATTTCATGTTATTTTTATCTTAGTATTCAGGAGTCTTTTGCCTGTACTGTGACCATAAAGTTCTGGCCAATTAAATGGACCTTCTGTTTAGTGATATTTGCTTTAGTCTAGTTGGCAACACTTTTTCATTCATAAATTAGTTCAAAATGCCTGGTTGTATGGTAACTCGTGGTCTCAAGTTTGTTTACAACACAAAACAATATTTACTTATTAATTTTTGGGTTGTGACAGCAACTTATTGGAATAGTGCTATTTATAAGTAGTTTGTGTTAAGCAAGTAAAGTATTATAAGTATTATAGTCGTCACAAAATAATAGATCATATTTGACACATGTCATCGCAACGTAAATAGTGATGTGAACTGCAATATCGGTAACCAGTTTAAACGATTCTCACGAGAAATCGATTAAAAATTTTAGGAGTTTGTAATCGTTTAGGTTATTTTTCTGTTCATTGCTTTTCAGTTCTAGATATATCAATCAACATTTATTTAAACGTTATACAGTTTAATAGAAATAATAAGTAAGTATTTTAAGTGAGCACAACGGCAACCTGTACTTGTTGTTGTATTGTAGTTATACATTAGCATAGTTCACGAGGATAACCTGTACGTAAATAACAAAATTCTGAAGTAAAACAAAAGACCTCCTTATTGGAATTTTTTATTTATCAACGTCATCGGAAGATGAACCAAAACCATCTGTTGAGCTAGTTTCACCAGTCCATATAATTAACTCGTTTTCAATTAAATTATCAATATTAACATCTCTGTCAAAATCTTCTTTTATTAGTTTTCTAGTTTTTTCCACCACCTTTCTCCAGTCTTCCTTTGTTACTTTAGTACATGCTTCCTTTAATAAAGTCATCATTTTTTTTGTGGAGAACGGTGGCTTAGTATTATTACGTCCTGCGTAGCCTGTAAAAAAAAAACACTGTTGTAAAATAGTAATGTTCCTTCACAGTGATATTACAAATTCGAAAGTTTATATGTTACCTCTTTACATTTGTACTTTATTAAAATATGCTACTAGTACAAAATAAGTCTTAATATATACGAATTTAAAATAACAGTATTAAATGCAAAAATATTAACCTTTAATTTGAGCCCAAATCAACTCAATAGCATTGTATTGACAGTGGTACGGCGGTGTCCTTATAATTTTATGTCCATGCTCAAGTGCCAATTCATCAATTTCATACCTAAGTTTTGTAGGTCTATGCTCTCGCACTAATCTTAACAATTCCACTTTCAATAGCTCCATGTCAGCTTCGACACCATTCCTCTGTAGCCATGCCACCAAATCAGCCTTTTTATTTGCCTGAGTCGGCGCTCGATCTATTTGAACCGAATGATACGATGCATTGTCCATAATTATTGTACATTGTTCGGGGAGGTTCTGAAGTAAAGTTTTAAACCACTCTTTAAATTTGTTTGCGTCCATTTCTTCGTGATATTCTTTTGTACTTTTTGATTCAAATGCTAGTAAAGCATTATTAACGAAACCTCCCCCGGCTGATCCAGCATGGCAAATTATGAGGCGACCACCTTTTCCCATTGGCACTTTCGAGCTGGATGCTTTAGTGTCGTCGGTCCATGATTGTGGTACTGTGTGGTTTGAGTTCAACCAAGTCTCATCGATAAACACAACATTATCCCAATTTGTAATTTTATTCATTTCTCTCAAAAATGAAACTCTTTGTAATATTAAATCATGTCTTTCCATCATAATATTTCTTTTGTCAGACTTCTTGTATTTAAAACCAATTTTTTTCAAAATTGTAATCAGTGAGGTAGCACTCCCAGTAAATAAGCCAAGCTCTCGAAGTGATACCAACAATTTACTCACAGTAGGGTACTCGTGTCTAGTATAATATGTATAAACATGGTTACGAATAGCGTCTGCATCGAACGTGTCGATACCTGTTACAGGCTTGCTTTTCTTCCTCTTTCTAGGCGTATGTAATACGTTTTCTTGAGAGCCGGAAGGCCCATATTTTTCTTGTATGATGGTGTGTACCGTTCTTTTGCCGATTCCAAGTGCACTTGCGACGCGATTTTGTACTTGTGTCACTGGTAATAGAGGTCCACCATTAAGTGACTCCCTTTCGAAATAGTCGTGTAATTTCACAACCAGTTCGCGAGTCTGGCTATTTAAAGCACGTCCTCTTTTCGACATGTTGAAAAAGAGTTCACACAGAATCAAGTCCAAAATATCCAAGCCAAGGTCAACGAGATTGAAAATAGAAGTAGTCCAAAAGCACAGCCGAGTCACAAGAAAAAACACCACGAATAACCAAGCGTACAGTCAACTTCCAAGACGGCGAAAGACTGCGCGGGCGCCGATGCAGAGTGACGCTAAATCGACATCAGTGTTGCCGTTTCAGAATTTGCGATAAAGAAAAGGAAATACAAATCTGACTTTACGGTTCTGTCTACTATAAATACTAGTATACTCAGTCTAATTTTGTAAGCACTTTAAAATTTTTGTTTTTGTAATTAAATAAGTCATTTTTTTAAGTGAAACCGATTTGACTCGATGATAGTCGGCGCGTATTGGTTACAACATTATTATTAAAAAGAATTATTTCTTTGTAGACTGAAGATGTAACTGTTTATAAGACGTTTCGGAGTAACCCAAAATTGGATTTTATTTTGGAATTCCTGCGAAAATAATACTTGAAATATGTTTCTTTCATAATGTATAGACCTTCAATAAAATTTATGTATTTTTTTAAAACCCAATAAG